AGGAGTTATGAACCGGCCTCTCTCATTGGAGGAAGAAGTTTACAGCCAATTTATAGGACAAAGGGCTTAGCTCTCAGATATCAACACAGAGGCGGGCATGAACCATTGTTAGTCAAGATAGTTAAGTACAGAGCAGACTGGGAAGAGCTTCAAAAGAATCTCATAAAACTGGGTGACTGGACAATAAAATGGCAGATGAATTTTAAAGTTGATACATGCAAAGTAATGCATATTGCAACGTCAGGGACTACATTAGCTGTTACCACTTGGAGTCATTGTGGATAGTTCTCTGCAAATATCCACTCAATGTATAGCAACAGTGAAAAAAGCAAAGAGAATTTTAGGATTCATAAAGAAACAGATACAGAATGAGCATATCTTATTGCCTCTGTATAAATCCATGGTACACCCACAACTTGCATGCAGAAGTGGTCACGTCTTCTCTCAAAAGATATCTTGGATAAAGTTCAGAAAAGGACAGCAAAAATTATTAGGGGCATGGAACAGCTGCCATACAAGGAGATATAAATAAGACTGGGACTTGTCAGCTTGGAAAAGAGGGAATATGACAGGTCTATAAAATCATGACTGGTGTGGAAAAAGTGAAAAAATAAGAGTTGTTTACTCCTTCCCACAGCACAAGAACTAAGGGTCACCAAATGATATTAATACGTAGCAGGTTTAAAACAAATAAAAAGAAATATGTCTTCACACAACACACAGTCAACCTGTGGAACTCCTTGCTAGAGGATATTGTGAAGTCCAAGACTATAACAGGGTTCAAAAAAGAGCTAGACAAATGCATGGGAGATAGGTCTGTCAATGGCTTTTAGCCAGGATGGGCAGGAATGGCATCCCTAGTTTCTGTTTGTCAAAAGCTGGGAATGCGTGATAGGGGATGGATCACTTGATTATTCCCTGTTCTGTTCATTCCCTTTGGGACACTTGTCAGAAGATAGGATACTGGGTTAAATGGATCTCTGGTCTGCTCCAGTATGGCCATTCTTAAGTTCTTATGAAAAATCACTCTGTACAAAAAAGGCAAAATTGACTCTGTGGATGCTTTATTATAGATTCACAATATCACTCACCCCCAAAATCTTCTGTAAAAACAAAGTCCAGATTTCTGCAGGGAAGAGATTACCCTGATTAAACGGTGCCTTTATTATTTACTTAAGATCTTTTACACAGTCTGCTTCCATCTGGCAGGGGAGGAGCAAACCGCTTACCAAGCCCTGTTGGTGCCACTGTAAGATGAGCACAAAGTACTGTTCCAGCTGAGAGAGACTCAGCGCAGCTCCTGCCAGCTCTTTTCTCCTTACCTGATGGAGCTATATTGCCTGTTTGGATGTGGTTTGTATCTCTAGACCAGACTTGAACAACCACAAAAACAGGAAGTCCTCCACAATAGCTTTAGTTTGTCAAACCTCTGCTCTAAAATGGGCAAAAGTCTCTTCTCAGTCCATTTTGTGTCTGTCTTCCTAACTTCAAAAATCTCTCAATGCGGTCAATGGAAAAAGAATATAGGTTGAACCTCTCTAGTTTGGCAACATCCATGGTCTGGCATGATTTTAGTTATCTGGTTGTCCACTTATCAGGGTATGGCCAAGTTTCCTGTGGTCCCATAAAGTTTGTTTACAACCACCTGTCCTGGCTCTCTGTGTTCTGTGCTATTATTTAGCTCTAATTTACCCCCAGTGTATTCGAAGAGCCCAGTAAGCAGTGGAAGAGTTGATAACGCTGCTAGACAATATTGGCCTTCCATGTTTTGGCAAATTCTCTGGATCAGCATCAGTCAAGTCCCAAGGGTGCTGGACTAGAGAGGTTCAACCTGAATTTAGATTCTTAATCTAAAACAACTCCATGCCTGGGGGGACTGAGACCTATATGTAAACCCACACTTTCAGTTAGCACTTACATGCTGCTTTTCATCCATAGACACAACAAAGGTGAGTTGTATGCCCTAGTAGAAGGGTAAAGAGAGGTACACAGCTGTTCCATCACCTAAATGAATTCAAGTTTCCCAGCTCTCAGTACAACGCCCTATGCTTGGGACATGACAGATTTCCGTTAACGAGGGAAGTCTCAGAGGGGTAGGTAGCCATGTTAGTCGGTAACTGTAAAAACAATCAGCAGTCCCGTGGCACCTTAGAAACTATCAAATATTTTAGGTCATGAGTGTTTGTGGGTAAAACCCAGAGACAGGTTTGGCGCAGGTAGAGAGATCTGTGTTAATTCCCAGCTCTGCCTCAGGTTTGCTAGGTGACCCTGCAAAACTTACTTCCCTTCTCTGTACCTTTGTTTCCCCATCTGCAAAATGGGGGTAATAATACCAGCCAGTTTTGTCAAGAGCCTTGAGATCTCCCGGTGGAAAGCACGGTATAGGACATGGTGTCATCATGGGACCAAAATGCTTTCCTGAGGCCAGAGAGCTGAATGATACACAGTTCACCTATGCCTAAGCTCGGTTCAAATGGTCAGACTCCAGCCTCTCCATAGCCCCAATTTTAATGACTCTGCCAGAGGGAGAACTACAAAGCAAACACAATTATTTTAATGTACTGTCTTATTAAAGAGCAAGTGTTCACAGGTGGGGCCGGGTTGCTGTCCACGTATCATTCACTGCTTCCCAGCACTCTGTAGGGCGATGCCGTATTTTTAGCTCGGTTACCACATAAAATGGAGTGAGTCACAAGGTCACCTGAAAGGGTTGATCCGAGTACAACCTTGTCTCATGGTGATGAATGTAGTCAGGCCATTAGGAGGGCGGATGTATGGCTCTAAATAGAACCTACATACTCTTAGGTAATCAGCGACAGATTAGGGCAGTCATTCCTTTCTAAAAACCCTGTTTAATAAGCAGTGGGCAACTAACAGGCTGGCCTACACTTAAACTTACATCAATATAGCTGCAGCACTTGGCCAGGGTGGGGGGGGGTGCATGTGAAAACTTCACACCTGTGTGCCCCCTACCTATGCCCACCTAACCCCCAGTGTAGACACAGGTTTTGTCTACACTGCTGGGAGAAAGCATCACAAGGGGAGGGGAGCTGCCAACAGTGTGGCCCCAGCGCTGTAGCCTGGTTCACACAGGCGCCTTACAGCCCTGCCACTTGCTGTGCTCAGCGGGGTGTTTTTTCACACCCCTGAGCCATAAAGTTACATCCCTGTGACGTGCCAGTGTAGGCTTAGCCACAGTCCGATTGACGGAGGAATTCTTCCACTGACATAGCAACTGTTGGTCAGGAAGGCACAGTGCCTACAGACAATGCAGCACCATTCTAGTCCGGGCCTAGCCTCCAGGATTACAGCATCAGAACTATGGCAGTGCCTAATGGGTAGACAGTGCAGGAGTATTTACTGAGGGGTGACTTTCAATCGAAGGAGTGTTTGACACAGCACCTATGCTGACCTAACACTTTGCATCCATGATACAGAAATTGTCTCCTTAAAGAGGCTCTTCCCATTTTGGTTTTTACCACCTCTGTACGTCTATCTTTGCTTCTGGGAGCCTTAATTACACATCTAAGACAGGTGCCATTGTGCATTGGTCTTCTGTTATTACCTTAGATTTTAAGGTAGCACTAGAACTGGGGTGGGTCACCTCATGAAATGAATAGGTAGCAGGTTTAAAACAAAGAAGAGGAAGAATTTCTTCATGCAGTGCACAACCCGTGGAACTCCTTGCTAGAGGATGTTGTAAAGACCAGGACTTTAACCGGGTTCAAAATAGAGCTAAATACATTTATGGAGGTTAGGTCCATCAATGGTTATTAGTCAGGGTGGGTAGGAATGGTGTCCCTATCCTCAGTTTGTCAGAGGCAGGAAATGGGTGACAGGGAAGGGAATCAAACTACAAACAAGGAATAGTCCTGCAGCACCTTAGAGATTAACAAAAAATGTAGACAGTATCATGAGCTTTTGTGGGTACAACCCACTTCTTCAGGTGAAACTGAAGGGAAGGGATCACTTGATGATCACTGTTCATTCCCTCTGGGGCACTTGGCATTGGCCACTGTCAGAACACTGGGCTAGATGAACCTTGGGCTGACCCAGTATTGTTGTTCTTATCTATAGGGCATCAACCAGCTTTTGGTCTGTTTGCACAGCGCCTGACACAATGGGGTGTAGTCCTCAGTGTTACTACACGACAAGTAACTAACCAGAGCTCATTCATGTTAGAGAGGTCAGTGGGTTTGAGATCAAAGTCAACAGGAATGTCTCAGTTGATTTCAAAGGGCTTCAAATTCAGTCCTGAAACGGGCAATTTTAAATACTGCTTGACTCTCCACCCTAATTCCATGTTTACAGTCCTTTGTGGGAGCCATTCCTGGAGAAGCATGCATGGAAGAAGTCACCTCCTAGTATAATGCATTGGCCATATACATGGGAGAGAAGTCAGATCCAGGTAGATTCACTGTAGGCCCTTATGAGTCAACTCTAGCTGCCATTTTTATGAGTGCTGCAGAGCCAGAAGGACTCTCTAGGACTTCTGTCAGGAAAAAGAGCCTACTGGAATGGCCATTTGGAAACAGGACAGCAAGCTTCGGGGATACTGGCGTTATCAGATGTTTCCTTGTGATTGGCCAGGTGCTTTGTAGGCACCATGTGGTTTGGGGTCCTCCTCAGCAATACTAATACAGGGCCAGCATTAGACATTCCACAGTGGCAGAGTGACAGATCTAATAGGACTCTTATTAGAGAACTCCATGTTTTTAAACCCAAGGGGAAGCATCACCCCAGAGGTTCAGGAAGCTATGCCACCTCTATGTTCTTCACTACCCTCCAGCCATGGAAGGATCCCCAGGTGCCACTGTTGTGTCAAGTGATTTAAACCTCACTGATCTCTTTTCACTGATTCCAAAAGGCTCTGAGCCAGCCCCAGTTCTTTTTTCTAGGAGATTTTTTTTTAAACTGAGTCCTGTCCATTGAGTGTGGGACCGTTCGCACCCTTTTACACACAATCCACCAGCACAGAGGAGATTCTCAGCACAAAGCCGTTCTTTTAAATTGCTACATTTTTATTAAAGTAACAAAACAAGTGTACATTTGTCAGTGTATCTGTACATTGTATATAAAAACACTACTGTACAATTAGTATTATTCCCTCCCCTTCCCCCAAAAAAAGCTTACAAACTTCCTACCGGTTTCGCCAACTACAAAGCAGGTCCCGCTCAACAGTCCAGCTCCGTTTAAAACAATGAAAGAGGAGAAAACCCAACAGACATTCCTAAAATACAATTCAGCTCTGCAACAGGCACAAGGCAACAGAGAGCACACTTCAATTCACAGCTTTTACAGGTAACAAGCTACAAAAAAAAATGTTGTCTGAATTTGGTTGGTTTTAAAGCAAACGCAACTTAATACTTGTCCCTGGCATGGAGTTAATAGCATGAAATTTGGTAGGATTTTTTCCCCCACCCCTTTTAAGAAAGGGGCATGATTAGAACAATGGTAGTGTAGCAATTTGTATTTTTTCAAAAGCACTCTTTTAGTAGGAGGGAAGGAGTGAGGTGTAAGATTTGCTTTCACCACACCAAATTGGTAAACTAACCAAGTACCACCGTGTGGGAAATTCCAAGTACAGGAGTGCAGAAAAGGAAACGGTTTGTTCTGGAAACTTTTTAGTTCTCATTTGTAGGTTTTCATCAAGACACCAGATAAAAGAGGATCCCACACAGCACTGTGAACCAAGACTTTCCTTGGAAGGGAAATTTACAGTGCAGAAGCGCCTACGTATTTCCTTTCATTGTGATACAAAATATTGCACAATTAGGCTCTTGGTCAGATCATAAGATACTCTTGTGTGCTTCACTGTAACTTCTGCTTTGCTGACCAAGCACGTACAACTGGAGAGAGGCAACTTCCGCCTTACAAGTCAGATCTTTTTGGGGACTATTATGCTGTGAGGTGGGAGACGCACCGGCCAACAGGCATCTTTAAAGGATATGCTGAGGATGAAGGGAAGTTTTCCAGTTCAGCAGTTCAAAAGCTGGTAAAAACTGTAGCAAAGAGGAATCCCCTTCCTCCTACACAGTGCCCAAGATTCAGAAATATATTGCACAGTATTTGAGAACTTGATTCAGAAAAGGCGGAGAAGGAATAGCTCTGGTTAGGCAAGTCCCTTGCCAGTTCAAAACAGTAAGGCAAAAAAACCCCAATGTGCTTTGAAACTCATCTGAGAAAGTTTCATTAAAAATAGAGTTTTAAGTGCCTTGTGTTTTTAATTACCTCTTAAAGGGCCACTGGCAGCATTGTCAGGAGCTTGATTAGTAGAAAAGGCAGTGAATGAGAAAGTCCAAGGGAAGCGTTCCCCAGCAGGTAGATCAATTCACATTGGTCTGGCACTTGGGCACATTACAAATGTGTGTTGGGAACTACCAAACAGTTTAAGGGCCCAACCCTGAATGCTGAAGGATCAAGGAACTTAGGCCACAAATTGCTTAGGCTTGTCTAGGGGGAAATGGAGGGAGGGGTGATGAAATTACAGCCTCTTATCAGTGTAAGAGAGTAGGCAATTTTTTAAAATAAACAATCAAGGCTAGAATGGGCTTTTAAGGGGTCTTGACACTCCAGTCTACTTACTCAGTGGAGTCATTTTTTATCAGGGGCAGGGAACCTAAGGCCCAGAGGCTGGATCCGCCCCCTGAGACTCAGGGCTCCCCCCGGCATTGGGAAGCCCACGCTCGTGCTCCAGCCCCCCCGCCGTCCCTCCGCAGAGCTGGAGCACACAAAATCTATTAGCCTGGGCCACCCAAGTCTCTGGTGTGCAAGGGGAATTTCTCCTTCTCAGTCAGGTGCCACTTCAGTGAAGGGTTTTTTTCCCCCTCTCCTCCTGCATGCAGCCCCCGAGTGATTTTTCTTTGGATCAGCAATCCCTGACCCAAAAATGTTCCCCACCCCTGGCTTATATTATTTTTCAAAGCCCCCCACACTAGGTATTCTAGCCTTTTCATTCACAGTTGCTCAGCGCTTACTCCATATAGTTTAAAATACTCTTTAAAAAAAATGCAGTATTTCCTCCTAACCACTTCAGTTCCTCCACCCCAAGCTGCCCAGAGAAGCAAGCCTTCCATCCACCCAAATTGTCATTCAATACCATTTAGGTAGATATTGGCTTCATAATAAAAACTCATAAGCTTGCAACAGCTTTAAAAAAGAAAAAGGCACCTAACACTGCTTCCTTACAGAGCAGTGTCTGATATTTAAATTTCATTTGGGATTTTCTTGCTTTTTTTAAAAAATATAAATAGCTCTTCATTTAAAAATAGATCCTCCAGTGAGGTATTCAGTAGCCCGTGTCCTAGCAGGGTCAGACCAGGCACATTTAGCTGGAGACAGTCATCATGTAGCTTTTGGAAGGGCTCGTGCGACCCAACATCATCTGGTTTTTACAGGTGAGCATCCCATAGGCGCTCACAGGTGCTGCCGCTTCGTACAACACACAGATGGAGCCATCCTCACCGATCCGGTAAGACACCTCGTACGGGTCCACCCAGAGCGTGAGCTCACTGGGCAGGAGCTGATACAGCTGCTGGAGGCTGAGTCCGATCTGACTAGCAGCTTTGCTGATAATGGGGTCCATTTTGTGATTGATTCGAATGCAGCGATACCCAGAGCCTTTGAAGGGTTTCTCGGGAAACCAGTGATGTTTGTAATGCTCTGCAAGGAGAGAAGACGCTTGTAAGTGGACATGCACACCCTGCTGAAATTCAGTGGACAACAAGGAATACTTGCAGAGCATCCTTCCTATAGGGTACTTCCCCCCCACCCCCAAAAAAATAAACCAGGGAGAGACCCTCCTTAAGTACTTCTCTTGTTCATACATGAGCTGTCAGGTCTTACAATTATATCTAGCATTCCTTGAGCATCAGCAGAAGGAGCTGTTTTGACCTTAACTATACCAGTCCTGAAGCTTCATGGGAGTAGCCAAGTTAGTCTGTACATGTACAGGATGAACTTAAACAACAAATGGCCTGGTAGCACTTCATAGACTAACAAAACATGTAGATGGGATCATGAGCTTTCATTGGCACAGCCCACTTCTTCAGATGACTGGAGTTTTCAGATACCAGTCCTGTCAGTCTGCTCCAACACTCTAAAGAATGCTGCTACATGGATGGGACCTAGATATTTTCCGTTCCCCAATTTGTGATTATGTGGCAGTGCAGCAACTGCCTGCCCCACTTATTTGCATGCAGAGTTTGTCAGGGCTTGGGTAGTATTACCGAATTCAAACACCAGGGTACATGAGCAATAGCATCCTCCACAATTAGCGTCATGAATTTACTTTTGATCAACCCCAAACAAACCAACAATCGGAGTGTGGAACAGAGGTCAGAAAGGAACCAACTTCTCCAGGGGGTGACTAGTAACAAGTGGAAGACACATGCATGTTCAACTGGAAATAAGGGATCTGCGCTTAGGAACTAAGCGAGGAAACTACTTCTCCATGCCGCACAAAGCTGGCCTGATCTAAAGCCCACTGAAGTCAAAGGGACACTTCCTGTTTAATGGGCTCCGCAGCAAATCCAACACAGTTAAACCAGACCCTGGACACCAATTTCTGAAACAAAGGGGCAACAACTCCCAGGCCCAGCAGCCCAGAAAGATCAAGACTCTTCCATCTGCTCCCCTCACCCCAGTTCCACCCAAACAAGGAGCCGCTTCCGGACCTGCCTTCGCCTGATAGAAAGCTCCCCCTCCCACCACCCACCCAAAGAACTGTCTTAGGTTATAAAGGACAAGGAGAGGGTGGGGAGAGCGTGTTTTGTGTTAACGGGGCTCTGCTTGTGTCAAGGGGACAGCACTGGTGGAAAAGAGGTGTTTAACTGTTGTGGTTCAGGACACTAGTTAATTTCACTCCAAAAGACTTAGCAGCAGTGGTCACTGCCCTCACTCAGGCTGGAGGGAGAAGGAAAAGGAAGGAGGGGGTGAAGAACCAAATGGCCATTAAATTCCTACAGCACCAGACTTACGTGGCACTTAAACATGGGGAGGGGGGGGAAGAGCCCTAAAAGCTCCTAGTGTAAGAGTGGGGATAAGCTGGGTAAGCCCCCACCCCTCTAGGACACAAGGGGGGCAGCCTAAAATTAGGCGCCCCCACTTTCTCCCCATGGGCGCAGTGTGCCTGTCAGCCCACACCTATGAGCGCCCCCAACACAGACTAGCTCACAAGAGGGGAGCCCCAAACCAAATGGGGTGCCCCCAATCTCCCTCGGGGATGCCCTGCCTGCACCCCCTCTCACCTGTGAGCGCCCCCTGCAGGGCCCCGCTGAAGACCTGCAGCTGGTGCTCGCTGACACAGCCCCGGGTCCGGAGCAGGCTGGACACGAAGCCCACGGCGGCGGCGATCTCGGGCACCATGTCCGCCCGGCTGCTGCAGCTGCTGCTCCCGCTCCACCGCTGGCTCATGGCTTGGCTCAGAGAGGGCGGCGCGGCCCCTTTAAGGCTCTGGTGCGGGAGGGGCAGGGGGTGGCTTCGCCGGTGGCTGGACGCTTGTTTGTGAGCGGAGACAGCGCAGCCGGAGCCTTAATACCCCTTTCCCCGACAGACGTCAGCAGCGGCAGGGCCTCTGATTGGCCGGGGCTCTGCTTTGGTATGCTAATGAGGGTGACCTCAGCGGGGTGGAAGCAGTGACGTAAGTGCTGGGAAAGTCAAGCTCGCTGCGAGCCTGACAATAGCAGCTGGGCTGGGGGGAGCTCTAGCAAGGCTATTTTTAGGGTCCTGCTGGGGGGGCTGCAGGAGGAAGGCAAAGAATGGCTCGTGGCATGCCTGGGCATTGTTATGAAACCCTTGCTGCCAGCGACTCTCATCTTTCCAGGCTGCTGTGGCCCTTTCTGGAGTCCCATTTGTCTTCCCCCCCCCCCCCCCCAGTTTTGCCCCCCTTTAAAACTCTCAGGCATAAAAAAACAGATGTGGCACGGCACCCTGCTACTGAAAAAATGTCAGATTTTCTCTTTCCCCCATATAATCACACGGTCACACAGTTGGCCTCTGAATATTGTACTTGCATTCCAGTGTATAGTAAACAGACTCATATAAACAAGTCATTGCCTCTATGAATTTTTCATTTGTACTCCTCTTGCTACTGCTTTTTATGGCAGGGAAAGGGGGGGGGGGGCGGCTCCGCACTCCCAGAAGGGATGGGGCTGGGGAAGTCAGAGCTCAGCACTGCCTGGATAGCACTGTGCCCCCTCCCCAGGCAACCCTCAGCCCTGCCCCCATGTCCCTGTCCCGTGCGGTGGGTCTGGTTGTAAAACTAGATGAGTTGAGGTACTCCTGGAAAACATCCGCATTCCCCAGAGGTATACAGACCCCTGGTTGAGAACCGTTGCTTTATACAATCTTCCCAATCTTCAGTACTAATAATTCTGTAGTCTTTTCCCCTGAGTTGTTGGACTTGTTGGTAGTGGGTTATTTTGCCCTGGACTCGTGAACTTTGTTTATTAATTTCCAACTAATGTCAAAGATGCCAGGAGCATAGGGATAGAGGTAGGGTTTTTTTCGTATTTGCATAAATTCAAATAAATGATAATCCTCTGCATAGAGAAAGGCATTTAGATGTTAGATATGATACACTATACAGCAATGTTTTCTGTGTGAGTCTCAAAGCGATGCAACAAATACTCTATTAAAGTAAGCTTAGCAGATATCCCTGTGAGGTAGCTGGTGGTGTGCACTATGGGTAGATTTTTGAGCTGCTGTATGGCAATGTGATGGCTTGGTCTTTTCCCTAATTACTGCTCCAGAATATACATGTGCTTTATGAACTCTATTAAATCAAGCATTTTCAACAGTGAGTAGTTCATTGTCTAGGAGCCCAACCTAAGAATGTCAGGCCTTTTCTGCTTTGATTAGCTACGAGAGAGTTAAACTGATATTTAAGAAGCTCCAGCGTTAATACTCCATTGAGTCAAGTTCCTTGTGCGTAAGTATCACATAAGACAACAATATTATCCCTAACACCTCCTGTTGGCATTCTCAGGAGAGAGGATCAGATGCCCCCGCTGGGACAATTCAAAAGCATTTTTATATTTTTCTTTTTAGAATAGATGTTTAAAAAAACATGTTCTGTGCACAGTCAGATCTGCAAGACACCGTGTGTGTGTGTGTAATCAGACATACGTGTGTGTGTGTGTGTGTAATCAGACCTTTGTAGGAGATATGTTCTTTTCCTGCCTCTAAAATGCAGCCCTTTCTGAAGCATAACACTGTGGGCATGTAACAGCACAGAGCAACACACAAGTGAGAAGCGGGGGGGGGGGGGGGGGGGGGG